TCCAATTGTTTATTTGAATTCTTATTCCGGATTAGTTGGAGACATACACTAGGCTATATCAGCCCCACCAAAAATATTTTTCACCAGCCGCCACTGATACAGTGGGTAAAACAAGTATTAAACAGGCCACCATTTTTCTCAGTAAATACAAATATTTGTAGGGGTGCTATTGACATGACATTTTCACCACATGTTTGTAACAATCCATACAGTCCACACATAGAAAGAAATCAAACCATAGATGTCCAGAAATTAAGCTATATATCATCAAGGTCCGGGGAAAAAGTAATGAACAGACTCAGTAGAATTTATATACTTTGTACAAAAGCCTTTGTTGGCAATGAGAGCTTCAAGATGCTTTGCTCAAGTGTGATTTTGGCCCATTCTTCCACACAAAGAGCCTTCAATATCCTGAAGGTTTTGTGAGCCTCTTCTATGAACTCTGATCTTTACCTCTTTCCATAGATTTTCTATTGGATTCAATTCAGGTGGTTGATTGGGCCATTATAGCAGATTTATGTTCTCTCTCTAAAACCAGTTGATTTTCCTTTTTTGTGTGTCTGGGGTCTTTGTCTTGCTGAAATGTCCACCCATGTTTCGTCTTCATCGCTCTGGTAGATGGCAGCAGACTTTTAATCTAGAATGTGTACACTGCGATGGAATGGCTATCCAGAGCGTACCACGCCTCTTGCCCTTAGACAGCTGGAAATAGTCAACAGCACCCCTTGGGACCCCAGCTGGGATAAAGCGTCACAGAAAATGGATGGATGGATGTCTCTGTACTTTTTTCCATTGATGCTTCCTTCAATCGTTTCAAGTTTGCCAGTACCATATGCCCCACACCATGATGTTCCCACCTCCAATCTTCACTGTTGGTACAGTATGATGTTTTTGGGGTGATGTGCAGTGCCCTTTGACCTTCACACACGATATGTATTATAGCTCCCAAAGAGTTACATTTTGGTCTCATCTGATCATATTATATTCTCCCAGTATTTAACAGGCTTGTCTAAATGTTGTGATGTAACCTATAAAATTTTCTTCTGCAATACAGTCTTGCATGGTGAGCGTGCATACAGGCCATGGCGGTTGAGTGCATTACTTATTGTTTTCTTTGAAACAATTGTACCTGCTAAATTCTGATTATTCTGAAGCTCTCCACAACTTGTGTTTGGCAAACTCTTGCACAACACTTCTGATAATTATTTGGACTCCTCTGTCAGAATTCTTGTAAAAAATGCCCGGACATGGTCGGTCTATTGTGAAATAATGTTTTTTCCACTTCTATAATATGGCTCCAATAGTGCTCACTGAAACGTTTATAAATCCTTCAGTGACCAATGTCATCATTATGATTTGCAAAAATAAGGCTGTGAAGATCTTGAGAAAGCTCTTAAGTTTAACCCATCATTAGATGTTTCTTGTGTGATGCCAGAGACACCTTATAGGCCATCATTTAAGACTGAACAGACAATTAGCAGGATTGCTTTCTAATTACTGAGAGATTTTGGCTGGTGTCTTGGCTTTCCAGGCCTTTTTGCACCTCTGTTTCTTCACATGTTCAATACCTTTTCTCTGTGCCATTCGATGTTCAATGACGTTTAGTGTCCAGTGAGCTATTGTTAATTAAATGCCCTGATATTTCATTCATCTTTCTAAATATGATTACACTGCCGTGGAGCATGACACCTTCCCTAGATGATGATCCCATGAGTCAACAGCAATAATGGGTGATAAAAGTCCATGAGCCATGTCTACTTGTAATACATATCAATGCAGGCTAAACACTCCATTGGATTAGTTCTGCAGCATACCTCTAAGTTTGAAAGATAAAAAACTTAAGTCGCTAATGATGGAGAAGAAACATTTTTTTTTTTGTTGGGAAAGTTTCTTCCAACCCTAGTGAGTATTGATAATGATTTTGGTTCTTTTTACAGTACATTTGTTACTTATTTCTCCTGTAAAAAACAATCATACCATTGGTTAGATCTTTATCTTTACTTCAAATGTAAACATGGCGGTACAGTTTACTATTCTTTGATTTTTAATTGAGCCAAGCTGTTATGTAGCAACTAGTTTATTGATGATGTTGCTTTTAATGGTTTATATAGCGATATATGTAGGCCTTCCACTAAAAACAAAGTAAATAACCCAAAAGGGGGAAGCCAAGGCTTCTGTCATTCTTAGTCATTTGTTTATCTGTCATTTCATGCTGATTTCGACCGTCTATCACACCGATCTCTATCTGTGGAAACCAAAGAGTTCAAACTCACTGTACTCATTTATTTTCTGCCGCTGTTTAGCGTAACAGATAGGCCAGAAGCTAAACTGCTGGAAATTATATTTATTTACCTACATTTATACAATGTTTGACAATGTATTTACAAAGATTTTTAACTACACTTTGAGAAAACGTTCATTCCACCACAATCTTGCATGCATCCCAGGAGGTAACAGGATGTTACATTGTTTGACTGCTTCAACAATATTTTATGTGATGTAAATGAACAAAAATATATTTTTAAATTACTTTTTAGGAATGCTCCTGTTTACTGCTTTAGAGGAACTGGAAACACAGGCATTGTAGTTTAAGGTTACTTCCTGAATCCTCTAAACGACATCTTATGGAAATGATCTTCATCTAGTAGATGACTTTACCAAATATGGCAAATTGGTGGATGTGAACATCACAAAAGATAAAGAAATACCTCATCAAAGGCATTAAATATCATCCTCTATCAATAAAACATTCAGCCCTACTTATTTGGTTTATATATATATATATATTCAGTTTCATGTATATATATATATTCAGTTTATTTATATAGCGGCAATTTACAACAGGCATCATCAAAAGACACTTTACAAAAACAAGAAATTCACATTAATGAAAAGTTAACATCAAGGAAAACTAGTTGATTGCACTTAGTCATCGACTTGCAAGACATGCTTTCACTGGATGAGCTTGTTGCAACGATTTGTGATTGCATTTGGTCATTGGCTCTTCAGCAATTCCTCATTGCAAACAGGCATGCAGCAACAGTAGTGAGGAAAAACTCCCTTTTAGCAGCAGGAAATCTCCAGCAGAACCAGGCTCAGTGTGAGCGGCCTTCTGCCGAGTTCAACTGGGATTCAAGGAGATAGAAGCAGACACACACAAAAAAATCTGATATACAAAAGATAACTGTTAACTAGCTACACAGGTTGCCCTGTCTAGGTAAGATACAGCTAGGCACACAATTTCCAAGCCAGTTCCAATGTCAGAGAATGGGAGAGAGCACATACAATTAGTCACAGTTAAAGAAACAGGATTTCACTGAAAAACAGGCCAAGCTCCAACATCTATATACAGAGATAATGATGGCACCAGCACAGCTGATATTTAATTCCAAGATGGAGTCAAAGCACAACAGGAAGGGACCAGATGAAGCTACTCTGACAAGAAAAATCAGAGAGAGTGTAAAGTTATAAGTGCTACAGTACAAACACAGCAGAATGGGAGGATAGAGGTAGAATGAAGCATACTACTAGAACTGGTAGTTGGTTTCACTGGGGACTCCAATTATACAGACCACAAGTAAACCTACAGGCTGAGCGTGAAGTGCTCTGTTAGGGAATATAAGGAGCAATCAGATCTCTGATATAAGATGGGGCTTGTTTATTCACAGTAGGGCTTTATATATGAGAAGGAGGATTTTAAATTCTGTAGATAGCCATGGGTGATGTCTCACATTCTAGTGTGAGCCTCAGCCTAGTGACGATTGCGATCAAATGGAAGCTTATAATCCCGTTTTTCAGGACTCCAAACAGAACTGGTAAAATGGCTGCACACCATACTTATAACTTATGGTCTGGTACTAAACTAAGTGTGTTTTGGGATAAGATATTTTAAACTCTTAAGAGGATTTTCAAAAGATTTTTTTGTAAACTTGGAGACATGTTTTATTGCATGTTGCATATCCAAGTAAATGTGTTTCAGTTTTAAATCTGCAGGTGTCCCTACTTTTGAGTCTGTGCTCTAGTATATAGCATTTAAACAGGAAAGCCTCTGGACAGGACGGGATTCCTTTTTCTTCCTTTGACACATTCTTCTTCTTTGACTATTTGAGCTGATTTAACAAGTACACTTCTCCACTCTGCGATCAATAAAGTCAATCAATCAATGTCTAGGTTTGTGCTGTGTTATGTCCTAATCCTCTCTGATCATTGATATATTTTTTACCAATGTGTGTTATCCATATTTTAGTTGTTTTGTGTGTTCAGTTGATCCACAGTCTTTTGGGATATTAAATTGATCCAAAACCATTTTTTTTTCATTCAAATGTTTAACAGATGATTAAGCATATTTGGGTATCCTAACCTATTTTCTTTCCTTAGTGCAAGTTGTAGCCACCATTTCTTTCATTATGTTTTTTGTTTGTCAAACTTTTCTATTACTGGCAACACTGTAATTTTAGTCAAGGAGGCCTAAAAAAGAAAATCTAATGGACAGAGTTTGTCTGTTTAGATGGAAACTTTTGGCTGTTATTTTTGCACATTGCATAGAGAACCATGAAATGGGCAAAGGTTTGCAAGAAAAAGGAAGCTTCATTCTACAGTATATAAAAAAGAAAAAAAGAAGTTTGTCTGTGACTGAGGTTGGTTTGTAATCTCCGCCTTTTTCTGTATGTATAAAACGGCATAATAGCTGTGAGGAGACACATTTTTTCCATTGTACTTATTCAGCAGTTTATATTTTTTGGGGATCAACATCTGAATAATATTCTGGTTTTCACAGCCTAGAAAATCAAGAAAAATAAATTTAAAAAAATAAAGCTAGCTACTTTTTTTTTAACAAGCATTCACCCAGAGGTTCTTCAAACATCCTCAGGTATGGTTATTTTTTGCTCTCTTAAATGCCAGAATATGAAACATGCATTTTGAAACCATAAACTAATCCTAACTTATCTCTATACCCATTTGATTTTCATTCCCACATTATTGTTTAAACCATGAGATGAAGGATGCTGTTTGATCATTTTTTTCTGCTTATAACCGCTCCTTTAATACTTATATATATATATGTCCTTACCCACATGTTCTGAACATGTAGGTATGATGCTACTAGTGAGTTACAGATGCATTATCCTCTTATCCCTCCACTTTTAAAAAAGAAATCCCAGAATTGTAGCAGTGTAAGCCATCGTTACAGAACAATTATAAACAGCAGATTTGTAAATTTTAATTTTATTTTCACATCCTCTTTCATTAAACCATTGATCTCCATCGGCAAAGGTTCCTCTGTTCAGTTTTAATTCAACGAAGTCTATTAATATAGCGTCAATTCAGTTTTAAATTCTGTCCCAGGACTTCAGCAGTTTTACTGAATCATGCATGTTTTTTTGTAACTATTTATGCTGGTCTTTTTAGACCATACAAAAAATGGTTACAAAACATAAACGAGTTTATTCAACATTTGCAAGAGGTTTCAAATGCTGCAGCGATTTTTTGATTCAAAAGTTTTTTGTAAGAATCCACTTCAAGTTATTTATGTGTCCGTAGTTTCTAAATCCTGAACCCCATATGTTTTTGAAGATATTCAACAATATATCTCAGCCAGAGCAATGCAGTTTTATAATTCACTTATTCCTACATCTTCTGTGAAAGTTTAAACCACTCATCTTTTTGGTGAAAGGACCTATTGTAATGAAAAGCCTCCATATGCATTTTGAAGCTGTAGGGAAGATCAGTATTGGTTGTTACATTCATCATATCTGAGCCATCACAGGACACAGTAAATTGATGTTTGGACTGAAATACACTGAAATCTCTGAAAGGGATCTGTTTCAGTAAACCAATAATTATTACAACCACAGACTAATTGTCAGAACTCAGAACAGAAAGATCCAGTATTCAAAGTGGACAATTAGGTTGAATGAGTGACATAGGCGTCTAAGGCAGGAACCTTTGCGGGTGGAGACAGCAGGGTAGTGACCACGTCTTTTCGCAGGACCATGATCATAAACAAATGAGTCATTAACCTGATCTTATAGTTCAATCTGAGTCCAGAGGTAGAGGATTGTTCTGCTGTTCTGGTTGCCAACACGCCGCATGGTTGCCGCACAGCATGTCCCAGACGCAGGTGTATTGGAGGTCAGAGGACAGGCAGGAGATCAGAACCAAGCAGAGCGATGTAGGCAGAATAATCCAGAGGGTGAAGCCAAACCTGGTTGGTTGTCAGAGCTACGTAGGAGGTCAGATTTTCAGTGAGGCACTGAAGGAGACTCCAAGAAGGAGTCAGGTCACAGTTCCAGGTTCCGTACAAAAGCACATAATTTGCACAGTACTATTTTACGTACCTAATAAGGCATTAAAAGTATTCGTTTAAGGTGATTTGTAAGCTTCTACAAATTTAGAAGTGTTTGAAATAAAGTTTACTTTAAATTTCAACTGTAGGTGAGTTTGAATGTCTGG